ATATATATATATATATATATATATATATATATATTTCATGTAGATCCACAATGAAAACGTGGATAAGATAAATCTTGATAAAATCACACGGGAAAAGGGAAACAACGGAGCACCTTAGCTTTCGTCTTTATTCAAGACATCTTCAGAGGCAACTGGATTACATGGACAGAGAGAGGCTTAAATATACAAGGTGACCTTAAAAACATGAGGTCAGGTCATAATGAAGTCATCCACTAATCTCCAGACCAACACACACGTAGAGGAGCTTGTAGTGGACGTCTACCCTACAACTGCGTAGCCTCATGCCACCTGCTACGTCTTCCCTAGCAACCAAACGAGCGGCCCAGGGGGGGGCGTCACCAGATGCCACAGTATCCTAGCAACGGAGTCAAAAGACCGGGGTTTCCCACGGGTGACTCACGGGTGACTCACGGCTGCTGTGTATATAAGCTCTGTCTCTCCATTGAGATTCATTCTGGCCTCTCTTCTTGAACACGCAACACCTCCTCCTCCGCCTCTGCCTGGCGGCCCTCGCTTCTCCTCCGCCTGCCTGGCGGTCTTCGCTCCCGCCGGCGAGCATGGCGACCCACCAGCTGTCCTTCTCTGAGCGTCCTCACCAACCAGCTCTCTCATTCTGCTCTCGGTTCCTGAACACGCAACACCTCCTCCAAGCAAGCTCCTCGCTGTCCCGTTCTCATTCAACCTGGAGGCCAGCAACAGGCAACATCTTCTCTAACGAAGCTCCTGCACATTTACCTCCTTCAACACGCTACTCACCGAACGTGTCTACTGAGTAGCTCCTCACCACACGGCACCTCCAGCACCAGACTGTCTACCATATAACTTATATTATATAAGAAAACCACCACCTTAGAGTTTCCATCCATCCTGAGTGCTAGACAACATAATATCACGAAACCCGACAAATGGTGACTCCCGGAGATTCGCACTCACACAGGATGGAGGAGAAACTGATCACGCTCCCAGTCTTCAAGCAGCATGGAAGATGGCTTATCCACACAGAAGCAGCTCTGCTACTCTAAGCAGACACCAGCTCCCCTTCCTGCCCCAAGCACCACATCCTACCCACCCCAGCACACCCGTCCTGCCTCAGATGCCGACCCCGGCCCAGCAGTAACCCCTGTCGCCCCTGACGCGGCCTCTGTTCCTGAGTGCGGACCCACACACCCCTCTTTTCTCCCTCAGGTACTCCATGCTAATGTCCTGCACCCTGCTGCTGTCGTGGACCCAGCTGCTGTCACGAGCCCTTATCCGCTTCTGCTGACGCAGCCCCTGCTCCTGACCCAGGCCCACACACCCCAGCAGGCGCATCTGACGACTCTGTACCTGCGGTGAGGGAAGCACAACATTCATCGCCTCCACACACCCTTTTTCTCCCTCAGGTACTCCCTGCTAATGTCCTGCACCCTGCTACTGTCGTGGACCCAGCTGCTGTCACGAGCCCTCACCCGCTTCTGCTGTCACGAGCCCTCACCCGCTTCTGCTGACGCAGCCCCTGCTCCTGACCCAGGCCCACACACCCCAGCAGGCGCATCTGACGACTCTGTACCTGTCATGAGGGAAGCACAACATTCATCGCCTCCACACACCCTTTTTCTCTCTCTCTTCTCCCACAGATAGTGTGTATATGGACAGTTGTATCTAGCGACCGGCTCATCCACGCCATCGCCGTTGTCTCACATGAGTCATGCACCGCCCGTTCTGCCTCACATGTGCTAAGCAACTCTACAGACAACAAGTCTCCTACACCGCCTGGAGGGAAGGGGGAGTATTGTAGTGGACGTCCCCCCTACAACTGCGTAGCCGCATGCCACCTGCTACGTCTTCCCTAGCAACCAAACGAGCGGCCCAGGGGGGGGGGGCGTCACCAGATGCCACAGTATCCTAGCAACGGAGTCAAAAGACCGGGGTTTCCCACGGGTGACTCACGGCTGCTGTGTATATAAGCTCTGTCTCTCCATTGAGATTCATTCTGGCCTCTCTTCTTGAACACGCAACACCTCCTCCTCCGCCTCTGCCTGGCGGCCCTCGCTTCTCCTCCGCCTGCCTGGCGGTCCTCGCTCCCGCCGGCGAGCATGGCAACCCACCAGCTGTCCTCTGAGCGTCCTCACCAACCAGCTCTCTCATTCTGCTCTCGGTTCCTGAACACGCAACACCTCCTCCAAGCAAGCTCCTCGCTGTCCCGTTCTCATTCAACCTGGAGGCCAGCAACAGGCAACATCTTCTCTAACGAAGCTCCTGCACATCTACCTCCTTCAACACGCTACTCACCGAACGTGTCTACTGAGTAGCTCCTCACCACACGGCACCTCCAGCACCAGACTGTCTACCATATAACTTATATTATATAAGAAAACCACCTTAGAGTTTCCATCCATCCTGAGTGCTAGACAACATAATATCACGAAACCCTACAAGCTTAAGAGAAGGGGGGTGACGTGACTAGTTAGGTCAGGTAAAAAATAAGGGACCCACTAAATAACTATTATACATCTAGATCAAAGGTTTTCAGAGCATTTTTAACCTTGGGCCACTGACAAATAAATTTATGTAACATATTATCAGTTTTGAACTGACCATCACTTAGGTTTATTGATTTTAATTCCTTAATCAAACTAGCTTGAACCAGAAGTCTTTCTGTGACACATGATGATTTAAATACTTCTAAGCTTTTATCCCAAGCAATGGGATGATTATTATTCCTAACATGAACAAACAAGGCACTGCTTTCAGATGCTGTTCTGATATTATACCGTACTTATGTTGTTTGATTCTGAGCTGCAGTGTTTTTCCTGCCTGTCCTACATAATTACAATTACATTTGCTACATGGAATACAATAAACACTTCCATTTACATTCAAACTTGGGCTATTTCTTATTAACATATTGGTAATGGTTGAGTCATACTTGAAAACAACATTAATATTTAGAAGCTTGAGGGACCGAACTAACGGGACAAATTCATTACGATAGGGCAGAGTCTAAATATTCTTAAGTGTAGGAATTTGCCTGGTTTGAGAAGAATGAAAGGATTTTTTAGCCCTTTTAAAACAACGATCAACAAACACAGAAGGGTACCCGAGTTTCTGTGCAATGGAACGAATGTGTTTCAATTCATCGTCAATAAATTCAGTCACAAATATGCAGACATCTTAAGAACATAGCAGAAAAAACTGACATTTTGGTAGACTCCAGGTGATTCGATAGAAAGTAAATGAAACTGTCTACCTGTGTGGGCTTTCTGTATACCTTAAATTTGTAGTTTTGGCCATTTCTCATGATAAGCATATCAAGGAATGGAAGGGATCCATTTATTTATCTTTCAATTTTGAATATGATACTTGGGACAATATCATTAAGCTTGTCTAAAAATTCCAATGGGTCACTGTATATTTAAGCCTCTCTCTGTCCATGTAATCCAGTTGCCCTTTTCCCGTGTGATTTTATCGATATATATATATATATATATATATATATATATATATATATATATATATATATATATATATATATATATATATATTGATTATTGAAACATGCAAACATTTCTATAAATTTGGGGGCCCACTGATGAGTTTGGCCTGGGACTCACAAGTAGGTAAATCCGGCCCTGTGTATAACTTTCTGTAAGCCCCAGAAGGGGATTCCAAAGGTAAGGGTGGGAATAGTATACTACCCTGTCCTTTTGTTGTAATAGTTTTATTGTCAATAAAGTATTTCGATTTCAATTTCAATTTCCGTCACAACACTCTCTGGCAAGTTGGAATTGGGCAATTTCTCTTGAGAGTTTCTACAAATAAAGTTACAGTATTATTTATGTCGTTTGGTTCATTGTTCCAGTTGATATCAACTGTTACAGAAATTAAGATATTATGAAAACATATATATATATATATATATATATATATATATATATATATATATATATATATATATATATATATATATATATATATATATATATATATATATATATATATATATATATATATATATATATATATACATGCACCTGCACTGCCTTGCATATATATATATATATATATATATATATATATATATATATATATATATATATATATATATATATATATATATATATATATATATTATATTATATTGCCAGTATTTTCTAGTACAGTATGTCCTCATCAATCTGGTAATCGACCTTTCTCTGACCCTTGATAGGTTCATCCTCTCTCTTCGGGGCAGGATAACTGAGTCTATAGAAATAAACCACCCAAATATAACAATCTTTCTAGTCACTTGTATTTATCAACTTTTTTTTTTCACATTATTGGGCCAAAACTGTACGCAATTTCATTGCAAAATACAATATTTAATAAACGTATGTTCGTAAATGTTACGGGTGTTTACTATTTCGGAAGTAGGAAAGAAGTGACCTTGAGGCTTGAAGCCGCTTGATACTGTATTGGGGAAAAACCAACACACAAGTGACGTAATTGTTGCTCGATCTACAACGTAGGATGGATATATCATTGTACCTTTCGGAATACTTTAGATGTTATAGCAAAATTGACTAATAAACAGTGTCATTTGTCTAATGCATGACGCATTGGCTTTTGATATTACGTAACTTTTATTGGGCAGCTGAGTTAGTTAAATACTCCCGCTGATATAATCAGCTGGTAAGGTGTCAGCTGATCCTGCTGGCATCTGGTATATACTTGTAGTGTGTTTTCGATAGTGTGTGACACTCATTATATTCCAAAAATAATTAAAATTAAAAATAAAAGTAATACTGTAGGAATATTCTCAAATCGTATAGAAGTCACACTGTGTGGTATTAAAGCTAAATATAAAGAAGAGTCAGACAAATGCGTTTGTCAACTGGTTATTACTGGCTAAGGAAAACTGCCGTATGATAGATAACAGAATTGTAATTGTTGTAAAATAATTACTAAAGTATATATCAAATCTAATAATGATATGATAGGAATTGGAGGAAAAGTAATAAAGTGGGCAAAATATTTTGAGGTGGAGTAGGCGAGGACCACGAGTGTGTCGCCATCATCAAAACATTGTGTGGCAGAGAAGTTCCCGTGACCAGGACTTTACCTGTGGTTTTTTTTCAGTTTTCCTGTGATTGAATACTATCGTATGGACCAGTGAGAAACATTCCTTATAGTTATGCCTCCAAAAAACAGAAAAGTAGCCGTAATGGGCTACAGAAGTGTTGGTAAGCATAGGGTCATGAAACCATTTTGCAAGTATGTTGTAATTAATTGGCAGTGAATATTTTGCCATGACGGGCAAAGGTCTTACAAACGCAATTTTGCCGTGAGTGCGCTCTGATTGGCTAATCGTCTACTACAGGCATTTATTTAGCCGTGAGATGATTGTTGTGTAGCTGTAAACATATCTAACCATATTTATGTTGTGTATGGAAACTTATTATAAATGGGGCGACATTTACTAGAACCTAGTAGAGCCTGGCCTAAACAACCCAAGAAACCTACCTACAGTAACCTTACCTAACTTCCTAGCCGGAGGCGGATCCCCTGTCCTATTAAATAGAAAATACTTAACCAATCAGAGTGCACCCACGGTAAAATAGCATTATTAGAGGGTCCGGCTAATTACCCAAATGTACCCAAATATAGCCGCAATGAAGTCAAATGATGGTCCTACATGAATAAATCGGACTGCTAATCACTTCTCGACTAGTATTTGGTGTCACGAAGTCACAAAAATTTGGTAAACTTAATTTAATCTGAGTTAATAGATCGAGTGCATGTACCTAACCTAACCTAACTCAACTCAGATTAAATTAAGTTTACCAATTTTTTGTGACCGTGACACCAAATACTAATCGAGAAGTGATTCACAGCCCTATTTACGCTTGTAGGACCATCATTTGACTTCATTGTGGCTACATTTAGGTACATTTGGGTTCATTTGGGTTCATTTGGGTAATTAGTCGGACCGTTAGTAGAAACTTAGCCGGTCACGGCAACATATTTACTATGTAATTAATTTGATTGAATTTAAATATTTGTCCATTGGCTGCCTTCTGGTTTTGATACAAGAATAGTTTGTTTTGGTGTATTATGTGTTTTACTCAAATTTGACCTTCATTTCTTGTGCAAATTAGTGTTTTTTTTTTGCAAAAAATGAACAGTTTCATTTGTAGCAGAAACAGCTAAATTTCACAAAAATGGCGGCAGGTTTGAGAAAAACACATAAAACACCCCGTATTACAGAATGGATATAGAATCCTTGGAAAGAATTCAGAGGTGAATGACAAGACTAATCCCGGGCATTAGGAACCTTGAGTATAGAGACAGGTTAAAGCATCTTAATTTGCACTCCCTCGAGAGATGTAGAGCGACCTGATAGAGGTGTATAAGTGGAAGTCAGGGCTAAACAAAGGGGACATTACAAAATGTACTCAAACTATCCAACCAGGAGCGAACTCGTAACAATTGTTTTAAATTAGACAAATTTAGATTTAGGTGCGAAATAGGTAAACATTGGTTTGGAAACAGAGTAGTGGATGAATGGAACACGTTACCAAATATCATCATTAACTTGAATATGCTGGATAGCTTATATGAGCAATAGGGGTTGGGTGTAAACGGGACTGCCCAGTATGGGCCATCAGGCCCTCTGCAGTTTCCTCCATTCTTATGTTCTTATGTAAAAGAAATACTTAACCTAGCCTACAATATATACAACCTAGCCCAGTTTTTTGGAGCTTACCTGCTACTGTGGTGGAGGAAACAGCTGGACGATCTGGAGAAGGACGTGGTGGAGGATGGTAATTTCTGCCTTTTCTTAAAAGTAAACAATTTCCACACACAGGACACAGTCATGATGTTGGTAGGACACCGTGATCTTATAATAATTTTATTGCTACACTGTCGTTCTCATAAACTCGCTGAATAACCGCTAGGTATGGGAGAGAACACTTGTCACACTCCACCACAAGAGCCTTCAAATTTGAAAGTGGAAAACTGGCTAAATATAATTGGCTAGCCATGTCACATGACACGATACTTGAAGGTCACTGGTTGTCATGTCTCGAAGAGGAGGAGGAAAGGAGGAGACAAGTGACTCTGACAACATGGTGGATACAGAACTATATGCGTAGAAATTTGTGAAATGCTTCGTTAATATTGATTTGCACAAGACACTATATGAAGTCGAAAGATTCTCTTTTTCTAGTCTTTTTGTCTGTAATATAGAAAATTGGAATCTTGCAGACAGCCAATGAATGAATATTAACCCATCTTTTGAATTGTAAGGTTTATCAGGGTGAATAAATATGATTTAAAGGGTAGAGGAAGGTTTGAATAGGAGAGCATTTTATCATTTATGCTACTTAATTTAGAGTGTCACTGTTAAACATGAAGAGGAAAGTATACAACATAACGCATGTCTAGAAAAAAGTTCTGATCACTCGACTAACTAATGTACAGTAGAAGTCCAAAAATCCGGACTGCTTGGGGATTGGGTCGGTCCGGATTTTCGGATTTTCCGGATTCTCAGGCAGTACTTTTAAAATTAAAATTTAAGGAGGAATAAAGAAGAGATGAACAGGTACATTTTGATAGTTTATTCATTAGCAAATAAAGCATGCTTCATTTATCAAAACGAGCAGTTTTAAAGAAAAATAAAGTCAACACTAGACAAAAATGTAAACAAACTGTCTAATACCATGACAAGTCTTGAAATTCCTAAGCCATCCATCACTAAATGCGCACTCTGATTCAATGTTCATTTGCTCCTTAAAAGACTTTGCTTTGGCAATAAGCATCGGCCCAGAAATTGCCATACCTTCTGATCGTTTTAACAAAAACCATTCGTGCAACACTCTATCAAGATTTTCTAATTTGGGCCAATGTAAACTTTTTCTTTCAGCAATTTTAATGTAAGGCTCAGAAGAAGCTGTGAATTCTAGAATTTTATTCTTTGCCTTTTTTATATCATAAATTGTTGACTTTCCAATGTTGTATGTTTCCATTAGAACAGCATTGCTCACATTACATTCTAGTTTCTTAATTATTTTAAGTTTGTCACTCAATTTCAATGTGTTCTTCTTTTTCTTCACACAACGAAGTTTATCTACTTTAGGGGCCATTATTATGGGCTTGTACTCTGTACATGGAAAGAGTGGGACTCAAAATTACATACGTTGTCACAGTTTGATTGCTTGTTTTAAAGTGGCGATTGTGTGGTCGTTTGTTGTCGCTGTGCAGCTGTGGCAGTCACGCATGCACACATACAGGTAGTTCTGCTATAACGCGATAATTGTGTTCTTGTAAAATATCGTGTTATAGAAAATCGCGTAATAGAAATAACAGGGCTTATGGAGAAAATAGGGTTAGGTGCAGTTTACTCGAAATCGAAAAAATTTAGTAGTTAGCCTAACACAAAGGATAGCACAGTCTAAATAAATGTTACATTCATATCTAATAATGAAATCATACAGTAAATTTAACACTTTACCTTGAAAAAATATGAATGTAACTTGATGGGGGAGAAGGGTGATTTTGAGGTTGATAACATCAAGCTTCTCTTCAAGTGTTATATCCTTTCTTTTACGATAATCACCGGGAATTCTATCATCAGAATGCTTTTTGGAGATATTCTTCTTTACCATATTCACAGTTAATACCACAAAATTGGAGAAATAGTAAGCAAAAATCGCGTTATAGCAAACAAGCGATCGCGTTATACAAATATTGTTCCGAATTCATAAATCGCGTTAGAGCAAATTCGCGTTATCAAAACACGCGTTATAGCAGAACTCACTGTACACACAAAAGATTTATAGTGCCTCAAATTTTACATTTCAGTTCAAGCTAATTACAAAACTAACAAAATTAGTTACCTATAATTTACAATTACTTTTATTATTAGAATTATGTAAATTAATTTTTTAAAGCAACTCCATTCATTCACATAACCCACAAAAGCCCGCTAAATTTAAAAAGTTTGAGTTTTCGAAAAGTCCGGATTCTCGGGTGGCCGGATTCCTGGCATCCGGATTTTTGGACTTTTACTGTACATGTTTTTGGTAATTTGGTAAAGCGATTGCCTCTCACCACTGACCTGGGATTGACACCCGCTTGTAATAATAATACACTACTATTTATTCAGTGCACGTAGGCTGTGGGAGTATACAGTTTCTTGTGTGGCAAGACACTGCAAGTAAAGGACAATGGTAAGCAGTAAGGCAACTTGACCAAGGATAGCCGACAAAGCTGTCAGGTGCTTATTTCCTTTGCTTAGGCATACTCTTGGTCTCTAATCAGTAATATTATGTCACATATGTAATAGTGAAAGTTATTTGATCGCAGTGGATATTTTACCGTGACCGGCTAAATTCCTACTAACGCTATTTTACCATGAGTGCACGCTGATTGGCTAATCAAATCAAAACGACAATCCACAGAACCTATTAGAACGTTACCAAACCTAACCTCACCTCATCTACCTAACTTCACCTAACTTCCTAACCTGTGCATTGTTGTTTCTATTTACCTACTATCATCCAAACAACATCTCTAGAAAAACTGAATGCAGAGGATATTTTGCCATTTTGTAAGCCGGTAATGGACGATTAGCCAATCAGAGCACAATCACGGTAAAATAGAGTTAGTAGGAACTTCCCCAGTCACGGCAAAGTATCCACTGCATTCTTTGATAGAATTCAATAAGCATTACATTGCACTTGGACTATCTAAAGTTGGTGGATTACTACAGCAGTTCTACATTCTGATTTAATAATATAGAAACTTACTCTTCTCTTGCTGTAGCTTCATTGGTATTATTTTACTTTCATGCAATCTTGGAATCTTAGAAATTTTATCTTTGCAATCAATAATTTAGGCAATTTTAAGATACTTCTATGACATTTGCGAGGGAAACGTCATAGAAGAAGAGTGTCATAGAATTGTCTAAACTATTGACCGCAAAGATAAAATTCCTAAGATTCCATGGTTTTATAAAAGTAAAACTTTACCACTTCAGTTTTGAATTTCTTCATTTTAGCTTAAAATTATTTAATGTCGTAACTGATTTTGATGTGGTCTGGTAACTTGTTTCAGTCTGTTATAGCAGGAAAGAAGAATACCATTACGTCCTGTACTATACATAATCTTCTTTGCCACTGATTGGCCTGTTAGCTGCACGTGCAGTCGGTCATGTCTCAGTTATGCACTGTTGGCAAGT